TCCGAATTTAAAGACATCACAGTGACTCAGATGGTTACTAAGCATCCAACATATGCGTCGTTCAATATTCACCTGCCGCTAGATAAACTCCAAGATGTTCTTGAACCTTCATTTTGGCCCGACGGAGTTATTGTCAAGAGATTCTGGGGTCGTCTTCAGCCAGGTATGATATCAAATTCTAAAAACTCAAAAAACTAAGCCACCATGGCGTCCGTGGTCTTAGAACCAAATTACCGTGTTTTAAATGTAATGTGTCTTTGTTTAATTATATTTTTATTTGTTCATCTGAAACTTGGTTAACTGACAGTTTTTTTGATAATGAATTAGGTTTAATTAATTATGCTGTATTCAGATGTGATCGTAATAGTGATACTAGCAATTGTTATAGAGGTGGTGGTGCTCTCATTGCACTTCGTAACGATGTTGTTTGTGAGTTATTACCTACCACAGCCTATAATGTTGAGCATTTATTTGTTAGATTCCACGTACAAAATGTCACCTTTGTTGTCTGTTCCGTCTATATCCCTCCTAATAGCCCAATTCTCGTCTATGAGTCATTTATGTCAGCTGTCCAAGCTACTATCTCTCAATCCAGGTTGTATATTCATAATCTTGACAATGGTCAAACGACGATTATGGTCTAATCTATTGTTCATCTTCAGGCCCTAGAGTGCAATGTGTTCCCGAAATATTTGCTTTCAATAATGTTGTCCAGCTCAATGGGGTTTCAGATCATTGTGGGGGAATCCTTGATCTGGTGTTTTCCAACAACTGCAGCGTTTTAGTAGAAAATTCAGAAGTTGTATCGGTTCCTCGTGATCCATATCACCCTGCGCTTGTAATCAAATTTCCCTTTGGCCGGGACCATCCATTTCTTGACAACTCCCATAAATACTTTAATTTCCGTCGTGCATGCTATCCGGACATATGTTCTTTCCTTTTGTCCTTCAACTGGCTTGAAACTATTGTGTMTCTCGATGTGGATCAAGCAACCAATGCATTGTATGATGCTCTGCATTTCTGCGTTTTGAATTTTGTTCCTGAGGTCTGTTATAGTCCTTCTAAATTTTCATTGTGGTTTTCTAAAGACCTCAATCTATAGTTATTTCTAAAAAACGGGCGCATGCCAAGTATAAAGTTTCCCGTTGTCCCAGAGATTATAACGAGTTTTCTAATCTCCGGGCACGCTATAAATATGAATACAAAAGGTGCTATAAATCCTTCATAGCTCAAACTGAGTGTAAGCTAAAAACCAATCCTCGGTGTTTTTGGGACTTTGTCCTGAAAAATAAATCCATATACAGTTCATTTAGACAAAAAGATTGGTTAGGTTAGGTACAAAAATATTAAAAAACT